TGAGGCTTGAGTGTATTCTATATAGCTTAACTGTGCCTTTATATTTCTACAGAGCAGAGACTTTAAAGAAATCAAGTGAATTCACTTTACCAGATCTTCCAATGCCGCCATCAACGTTACCTCTAGATGATGGCACTCAGAATAGTGGACCAGCTGCTAAATCACCGATATCAACACCAACTGCGAAACCAACACCAAGCCATGCGGCAACAGGTGGTGGGGGGAGTGGAGGTGGTGGAGGTAGTGGTAGATACACCCCTGAAGAAATAGCTGTTTTGAGGTGGGTGTACTCTTCCAACAAATGATGTTTGTTTGACTTGTTTGAATAATGTAATCATTCAAAATAAGGACTAAATGAATAGCCACAGTCCGTCTATCATGATAGAGGGACTGTGGAATATGACAGAGCAATCACTCCTAGAGTTTGTAATAACTAATCATATTTGACAGTTTGTTTTATTGTTCACATACGTTTACATATCAATGTTATTAAAGTTGGATGTACATAAGCTGACAACTGACATTAAATTCCTTTGCCTTTGAGCCTGAAATTAGAAGCTTGGACGTTTCTTCTAGTAGAACCACAAAAATTATTTCTAAAATTGACAAGAGTCATCACTTTGTATCTAGGTGGCCTGTGGGTAATATCTAGATAATTAACAGGAAGGTCAAAAGGCCAAAGTATTGTAAGAGGTTTGTTTCTGTGTAAATGTCAGACACATGTGTTTTGGGGGATTGATTTTCAAATATGCTGAAATTCCAACTATTATTTTGTGTTTTTTTTTTAGACGTACATCCCTGATCAATGGCAGGGAATTTGTGCCTTTCATTTCACAAGCAGATCAAAAAGAAAAATTTGCATATAAAATTCCATTCAGGTGAGTAAAGCAGTAAGAGAAATGAGATATCATTGGTAAATAGAAAATATAAGTATCAGTTTATCAGGTGGAGCAAGATCTTATAAATCCTTGATATATCACATACCATATGTAAGTAGCATTGACAATTCTACATACATTTGGTGCACAATTGTAATTTTTTTTGTTGATAATACAACTGTAATCTCTGTTACTCTCTGAGCTTATCTGAAATTTCCACTTCACCTTCAGTGACTCACATGGAAAACTTATGCTTTCACCAAAACAAAAAGAGAAGTTCTCGAAATGGATGAGACCAGATGAAATGGATGGTGACCCACAAATGATTTATGCTGTCTCTAGTTTTAGTATAAAACAGGTATTTTTGAGTTACTAATTTTAGTATTTACATTACACTTCAGACTCATTAATTATCTGTTGATTTTTCAAAGTTTCACAATCAAAAACGACATAGTCTGGTAAAGAGAATATAATTTGATTTTTTGTTTTTTGTTTTCTTGATATAGACAGTAGTGTCTGATTGCTCCTTTGTAGCATCACTTGCTATCAGTGCAGCATATGAAAGAAGATTTAGAAAACAACTTATAACAAGGTATAAAATATATGAACCATTGATTCTGTACTAGTTTTGAAATAACAATATCATACACAGGAATATTAGCAGTGTAACTAACTGGTATTATTTATGACCATAAAATAGAATGTTTAATTTCTAATAAAAATAATAGTCAAAATTAAAATACAGCCAAGTTCTACAGATAAAAAAATAATTGAAATTGAGGCTGAGCAGCTGATTTTTATTTCTTGGAGGTTTTGAAAATGTAATTTTTTGATAGTGAGAATATATGTAATCTATAAAAATGTGATTTATATATTTTTCATTACAACCATCAATATATTGATGTCATGTGACTTTGGGAATACTGTGATGTATAGCTATATAATAATTGTCTATTGCTTTTACAGGATAATCTATCCACAGAACAAACAAGGTCAACCTGTTTATAACCCATGTGGCAAATACATGGTGATATTAAATTTGAATGGTATTAAAAGAAAAGTAAGTCATCTTTTACTGTTCTGTTGTGATATATATTGTAAAAACTTTAATTTTCACTGATATGTATTTTCATAATTGTAATAGTTCATATTCAATGGATTTTAAATTCATGGTTTTTCTATGAAAACAATGAGTACTATTGTAATTTTTTGCGTTTAACAAACAGCAAAATTAAAACTTTTTGAATAGTTTGTGACCACAGACTTTTAAACTTCGCAGTCTGAGTCTATAGGTTTTTCACATGCTACTGTTTTGAAGAAACGTGTGGGTGAAACACAAAGTGGCTGATTCATTGGTCCTTTGCTGCACATTTAAATCTCAGAATATAACGCTTGCTTACAGTGTTAATAATGTTTCTAATCATTCTATGATGTCCCAGATTCGAGATTTCAGATCAGTTTATGATGCAATCTATGTATTGTAATCATGACAACTTGTATTCAGCTGACAGAATGTTCTTTATTTTAGGTTATCATTGATGATTATTTGCCAACTGATAAATATGGAGGATTACTGTGCTCCTTTTCCAATAACCGCAATGAATTATGGGTATCATTATTGGAGAAAGCTTATATGAAAGTAATGGGAGGCTATGATTTTCCAGGATCTAACTCTGTAAGTATGGTATACACTTGTCATCACAAGTACATGAATCAGAAACACAATAAATTATATCATTTGTTAAAATCAAAAAATAATTATGTTTACTCACAACCTGGATAGTTGTTTGCCTGTCCTGAACAGCCTCCTGGCTGCATTGCCAGCCCGAAACAGACAGATGTCTGACTGAACTGCCGGCTTGGACCTGACCAGCCTAACTGAACTGACCAGATAGCTACCTTACCTATCTGACCCAGACAGCAGCCTGACCAGACAACCTGACCTGCTGAACATTTATTTTTACTCATATTTTTTTGTACTATAAAATACATTATTTTCGCTTGGAATTAATTTTTTCTATATTCGCTGAAGGAATGATTCAGTGAAAATAAAATCCAGTGAATATACCTTTTTTTCCTATATTTTACATTCAACTTGTCAAAAATCAGTGAAAATAAATTCCATACAAAACACCCAAAATGTTTTTTCAGTGAAAATTAATTCCAGCTAAAATAAAATATTTTACAATACTTGAAATGATAAACTACAAAATCCTATAGTTTATACATGTACCATATCTATTCTTTGTTCCAGAACATAGACTTGCATGCGCTGACCGGATGGATACCGGAAAGAGTCGCCATTAGACCTGGCACACCAGAATTTAATAGCGATAAAGTATTCACTAAGATGATAAGTAGGTTTCCTAAAGGTGATGTGTTGATTACAGTTGCTACTGGTGTATTGTCTGATTCGGATGCAGAGCGTGCAGGATTAGTTCCAACACATGCGTATGCTATGTTAGATATCAAAGAAATAATGGTATGGACCACTCATTTGAATTCTTTCAAGGTCATTGTCGTGCACCTGTAAAACACATGTAACATATGTAATTCATAAAACTTTAAACTAGTTTTCATTTATGAATTGAAAAGATTGAAAAGAAAAGTTAATATTAATTGGTTACCGGTAGTATGGTTGAAAAACTGTAATCCTACCAACATTAATATGCCTATCACTTTTTAACATTTTTAAATATTTCAACCACACAGTTATTACATTCTTAGTTTGTTTTTTGTTTTGTTTTTATTGTGAAATTTTATTGTTTGAGGAAATTTGCTCGCTTGTGAACTCAACTATAGAGGACGCTGTCCAATCAGAC